CGGAGCGAAACTCGCGCTCGGAAAGTCGCAGCAAGTTCAACCGGGGAACTGGGTTACGCGCGCGGAGCTGACGACGACGGTGCAGTCATTAAAATACTTCGTTACTCGGATACTCGCTGTTTATCCGATCTCTCGTTCATCTTGCCACCACTACACCCAACTTTTCCGCTAATACTGCGCCGTGAGACGTCGTAGACGTGCACAGAAGTGAGCAAAACACGTTAATTGCTCTCGCGACATCCCTAACAAAAAGAGAGATTCATTCCGCGATTGTTTGTCTCGTCCTCTCCCTTCGCCGAAGAGTGCTTCATCGATCGCAGATGAAGACTTATTCACTGGCATTTCTCGATCGAGAAAGAGAGAAAGACAGAGAAAGAAAGAGAGAGAGAGAGAAAGAGAGAAAGAGAGAAATAGAGAGGAAGATCGATCGTGATCATCGAGGGAACGAGCGTGATGATGTCAGCACCGGGAACATCACGACAGACCATCTCGCATAACGAGATCCCTTCGCTATCCAGGCCGACTTCGCTACTTCTCGTATCTATGTGACTACTGGGACAACATGGGGGGCTAGTCTCAAGTTAGGTTTGTTTTTTATGGCTGGCTTCCACGTAGGTGGATTTTCTGGGGGGTACCTGCGTCCACGCTCGCGGCTGTACTGGCCACCGTACTTGCAGCGATTCGCGGCGAGCTCCGTGATCTCTGGGATCCAGCTGGCGAACACCGCCTACACACCCACAATCATCCGTTGCCGTCAGAACAGACCCCTTAGCCTGAATCTTTTTGTGTTTGTTTTTTTCGAGTTTGTTTCGTTCGTGCTTTCGCTCGCACTCCCCGCTTCGTTATGTTCTTGATCGCTTTGTCGTGAGCGACCGACAGAGTGCCGCGAATTGTGAGAATAGAGATGACAAGTACGATTGATACGACACCGAGGCACAATTGTAAGATACGTAGTAATGTGTGATTTTGAAGGTAGTATGCGTTTGCGATTTTTTAATCAACGTGTAGATTTTTTTTTAATAGCGTTGCGCTCCTTTAAGATAAAATGGACTAAGTACTCATTGTAATTGCTGCGTATCTTCTTGGGCAGAAGATTCCGATGTAGTGAAAAGACTTCTGATAAACGTATTACGTGTGCCGTCAATCACCAAATTCGCTTAAACAAAATGAAAGAAAAATTTGTACAACGAGATAGTTCTATAACGCAACTTATAATTTTTTGTATATTTATTATATTTCCGTGCAAATTGCACAATTATATTTAAACAATATATAAAATTTTGCGGACATGTTTTACGAAACTTTTTGTGAAAATACATCTTCGTATCTCTGCTTGTATTTGATCCTTAGCTTGCTCACAAATCATTCAGAACAGAAATATCTGTTATATCGATTAAGTGTCTCTTGGATTTTTCAAATAAATTACTGTACCTTTTATTTTGTTCAGTGAAACAGGTGATGGACTTTGACACATACAGTATAAATCTAAAAATTCTTTCCAAATTGCAGACAATACTGTTATCTCAGTTCTCAACTTGTGGGAGATTTTCTTAATGTTAAGTTTATACGTTCTTCAAAACAACCCTTGATAATCAATTTGAATGCTGCAAAATCATATTTAAAATCTGCAGGAATTTTTATTCTACGACTGTTACGATAATCATCTTTTACTTGATTTTTTATCGGATGAAACTGAAACTCATCGATTTTGGAACGAAACGTGCGTACATGTATATCTATATATATGTGTGTGTGTGTGTGTGTGTGTGTGTGTGTGTGTATGTGTGTATACGCAGTGATGATTTGTCGAGTAATCGTCGCGAAAGTACGATGAACACTCGATACAATGAATAATAAATAATATGACAAACTTGTCCTAACACTCGCGCGTACTCTCTCGTCTTTCGAGCTTCCGCATATACTGCAAGCTCGGCCTGCTTGAAATCATTAATCCTTGTCAGAGAGGATACAACTTAACCCACGGGACGTTCGCTAGAACATAGCGATGCGTTCATCATACGTATGTGTCAGTTCTCGGCTAGTGCCGCATTCAGAACTAATCTCATTCAAGCGAATAGGAAGAAAAAACTAGAATCGTTCAATCGCTTCAACGGCTTAAGCGTCGATTTTCTACGCGAGAAAAAGAATAAGAGAGAGAGAGAGGGGGAGAGAATTAGATTGTATAAATCAGTAACAGCATCAAGTGTGTAATCGTGCCAATATGCTAGCAACGTCTGTGAGACGTTACGTCGTAGATCAGACGATGAAACTGCGTGTTAGCACGATGCAAATTGTGCATGTCATTAGATTAGCGCTGCGCAACCGTCATATGGAAGTCAAGCGTCTCACACGCGCAATGCCAAGAGCGACAATTCGCCTTTGCATCCTCACGAAATGACTCGGGTCACAGGTCGATCCATAAAAAACACAGTGCCGTTAGTTCCTCGTTCCGCGCAATACGTGCCTATTCGCGATTCTCCAGTTGACCATTGTTAATTGACGTTAATTGACTCCGGACGCGGCTGCACACTTCTCGCGAAACGGCATAGAACTAAGTGCCGTCATCTCGCGCGACGTGTCGTAAAAATTAATTTAATGGCATGCAGGCACTATCGTAGCGTACGGCGCCGACAATTCCGAATAATCAACGTCGTTCCCGACGTGACGTTGTGCCCTATTTCTGGACTGGGGTTCAAATAGAATACCGCCGTGTGTAGAGTAGAGGAGACCTCAGTGTGCCACAATATTGGGAGAAGACTTGGGAAAATAAAGAAAAAATTTGAATTTTCACAGTGTGCTTGGCAAAACTGATTGTATTTTTGCGATAACCGCGAGCGAATGTAAACGTATTGTGTGATGTATCTCACGTGTAAAACGAATGACCAAACCATGCAAGACGATCAACTGGATAAAATTATCATCATTGAATTATTATGTATTAAATACACGCTCTTGCACGATTGATACGTGCACGGTATCGTCCAATCAGTCGAGTTACATGGTTTGATTCAAAGACATATCAATATTTTGTAATTGTTGTATTTGAGAGTTGCATTCGAAGATTTGAATGTGTTCCATTGGATATTTCGTTCTAATGTGATGCAGTATAAAAGTAATGTTGTACTCTCCTGTAAATGTTCATACATTGCAGGTAGCAGACTAAAGTGGCAAACCATGTGATTTGTTTGGAAAAATGTGCTGTTGATAAAAAGTTGTTAATATAACGACGAGAAAACAACTGGATGGAGTACAGATGCTTCGTCTAGATTTCGCGTCGAAGCGAAACTACGTTCGAAAAATATAATCTGAGTTCCATCAAGCTGCCTTCGTCGTGACTCATAGTATTGTCTTATGTATATTATACGTGTCATATGGATGCTGGGTGCTTGTTGCTTCGTGCTGTAGAAAAAGAGCGATAATCGATATACGATAAAGAACCACTCCGATCGATATAATATAGAGTACATGCATAAGGCAAACTTACTAAGCGCAGCTGCTTCTCTCGTCACTTTGGACTTACACGCGATCTTCGCCATCGGACACATATTGTTTGTTAACTCGGCGTCGCACGGTGAAAGGTCATCGAATTTATCAGAGGTAAGTGATTTGGTCGTTGAAAAAAATCGTCATTACACGCGTATTTGGATGCCAGAAGCGGGGAAAACGATATTCTGTAATTTCTAATTCCCGCGCGTGTATAACTCTCGCGACACGACGTTTACGATCTCTGAGAAGACCGACCTAAAGTTAAATGTAAAGAGCTTCCTCGAAACAAAAATTGACTCATCTTCGGCGAAAGTCTCTGCGCAGCACAACGCGAATCGATCTTGAAAGTGTATAAAATGAAGCATAAAACATAACTATCACGTTGGTGCTTATTAACGGCTATGCGCCTGAGATGTGGCGATTCGCGCTGCAGCTGTACTTTATCGGCTTTAATTCGAGATGGCGAGTCAGTCCAATATCAGAAAGTATCCGCTTCTAGGCGCCGCAGATGGCTCAACATTTACCTGGCCACGGGTGTGGCCTCTATTCAACAGTGTGATAATATTAAAATCGATACGGTCATTTTATGACGATTAGCCGATGCTTCTTGCGAATACCCGAACCGCGGTGAGGCAGAATCCAGCATTGATAACTCGGAATTATTCAATTCGCTTAGCTCAGGCTAAGAACAATGAAATATCTAGTACTAATCACTTGTCATTCTACCATGTCAAACTATTCAGTGAGAAATATTAGAAACCAAATTGGAACAAGTCACTTCTAATTTCCAATTCACACATATTCAAGAAATTCTCAATTACACGCTAAGAAATCGATGATGTCGTTGTATTGATTTGATGCGCGAGTGAAAATGCAACAGCCGAATATCGAGATTTTCGAGCGCGTTTCCACTTGTTTCCTTTTCTTTTCCTTTTTCCGAGATACGCTCACTTGCTCGCGTCGATCGTGAAAACTCTTTCCTTGCCGCTTCATTGGACCTTTCACCGTGGACCAGTGCCGTTTGATTCATTGGGAAATGAAAGGGAACGCCAGCGACGAATATACCACGTCGCACGCACGCACGGTCGTTACTCGGGTGAACTCTATACTTCCGGCTGCTGTAAATTCTCATGCATTCATCATCGGTCCTCGAGCTTCTTGACATTTCGCACTCACATAGAACGATGATCGAACGACGATGAGAATGTAGCACGAGGGTAGGCGCGTTCATGTGTGTGTGTGTGTGTGTGTGTGTGTGTGTGTGTGTGTGTGTATGTGTGTTTCGCGATCGCATATGTGCGAGAATGGCACATCGTATGTATCGTATGTCTGTGTTGCTGTGTTGTGCGTGTATGTGTGTTTTGCGCGTGCGAATACGTATATCACGCGCATCGCGAATGTATATTTGTTAATCCTTACGTAAGTATAGAAGTATATACATATACATACTGGAAGGAAAGTAAAATTAATAGACAAGAGACAGAGGGTTGTAGGATGTAATTTGATAGTAATACCTCTTTCCATGCTCCCGCTTGTATTCGCCGCTGTACTTGGACCTACTGCCTACGAGCTCTATTATCTCGGGTATGCTACTAGCAAAAATTGCCTGCAAATAGAAATCATAACTGGAAAACACTATGCGACTACGGATCGTTGAGAAAGAAAACAAAACCGGGTCACCTAGGTATCGGTTGCGTCTAGCAGCAGTGCTTCCGCATCTCCTATATTGGCGTAAGTTAAGATGCATGTCGTACAAGGAAAACGGCAAAGGAGAAATTGGAGAAATGGGGCTGGGGAGGTAAGGGTAGTAGAATGCGGCTAAGGGGTAATAATCTACGTTTTATGTTTCGTGTTCGCGTGTGCTTACTGATGTGAGAATCGAAACGTGATGCTTTCAAGTATATATTGATATCTCTGGGTGACATACATTCTAAATCGATGCGTGGGGAATTAAGAGTCACACAGTGTGTTAAAGGAAAAGTACCTAGCTGATAATTGTATCACACAGCGAGACCCACCGAAATTCAATATGCCTAATGCTAACAAACCAACTCTGTTCCTTTTACATGTTCCTTTTACATGTGGTATCACAATGCCGAATAAAGAGCAAATAGAACAACGATGCGTATTAACGCTTTTGAAAAATTACACTACATCTCGAAAACATCAATCACATTTTATGACACAATAATTCAAATAACACAATTAAAGTCTTTTGAAATTTTTTTAAATAATTTGATATTTCTGAGATATTGATGTTTCTGAGATATTATATTATTGTGATAAAAAATAGTTATTAACAAATTTATATTTTATATGTATTATTTAACATATATATATCATATATATTGATGCACGTTAAAAAGACTGATCTAACAAACGTCGCGCAAAGGAAATCAAAGTCGATTTTGAGTCATATCGAGTGATGACAGCGAAACGCTGCTTATCGTGATATCATTTAGTGTTACAACCTTTGTCATTGTTACTATTATATTATACTTACACTACGACGATTTTGCTATAACCGTATAGAATCATCCGACGTGTAGGTATCGAGTCTATATGTGTGTATGTGTGTGCAGTATAATAATATAAAAGAGAGTGAGCATAAAAGTAAAGGCAGTCCACCAGGCGAGAAAAGAAAGAGATAAGAAAGCTACTAGAAAACAGCAGAGATACAGAGTTAATAGTGGAAATCGATCTCTTCTGAAGTCTGCGATAGACTAAGAGAGTTTTTCTTTATCCTCACAATCAATTATCCGACTTGCAAATTTGCCCGTGCCACGAACTCGATATTAATTCTCGACGTCTTGATTAATTCTCTGCTGTTTGCGATTAAGGTGCGACCCATGTGAGACAAGTGAATGTAACTTATGATCGATAATTACAAAAGCACAGAAGTGAAGAAGGTGCAAGCGTTGCTTCTGAGTAGAACGGAAGTAGAGAGGAAATTCTGCAAGTCGAAAGTTCGCGTCGTGCATGTGTGAGGTGAGAGAGGTGCCATTATGTAAATCGCTTATGATGCCGGATAGCAGTAAGAAAGATACGACCCGTCGTGAACGATCGACCAAATCGTGTCGTGTCACGTCGCGTGATTTGCGCTACTAATATGGGCGCTGATAGTGATCCGCGAGTAGGCATATCTCGCGAGTTTCATAGACACTAGGCAACTAAAGACACTGCGATCAACGAAATTCTTAAGGAGACAGAATAGTGAGAAGAAAAAAGAAGTTCGACACTTTGCGCTCGACGTAACGCTGTACACTCTCGAGAAACAGCCAGGAATAGATGTCCTGCAAAGTAACATGGCGAAGCAGCGAATTGTACGACCGCGATCATTTCGCCGAGTGATAAGTACGCAGCGAAAAGTGAGAGAACCCACGTACCCACGTAGAACTCAGAACTTTAGCGACATTTAATAAAAATCGTGTACTTGGAGGAGAGAGAAAGATAGAAAGAGAGAAAGAGAAAGACAGAGAAACAGCGGGAGAAAGAGAAAGAAAAAGAGTGAAAGTTTAGTTGAATAAGACATGAATTTATAGCCCCGAGAATTGCGATTGCTCGTACGTGAAAATTAAATGCGCAATTCCAGAGAGATCGTAAGTAATGAATCCGCTTGCAATCGCAGAGTTTGTAACCGATTAGCTATTTTGCGCATTCGATAACGATAAAAATTGGAACATTGATCTGCAAACCAAGGTTGCGTGGCCGAATATTCTCTTTGAATACATTGAAATGCGTATTCGTCTGATATATCATTGCTGTCGCGTACAGTTATGCTGAATCAAGCGTAAATTAGAACCTCGCGTTCACAATTATCCCCTGTTATTTAATTGAAGCGCGCTATGAGAAGAAACTGTTTGAGCTTTATGAAAAGAAACTCCGTAAAAATCATTGCAAAAATAACCGTACGTACAGTCATTTTTTTTCTCAAAACTTTCAATGCGTCCACACGGTATAATAAGTGCGCATCAGCGCGGTCGCGCGGCTGTTGAGAATATTATCCGAGCGTTTACGAAAGGACCTTATCTCCCCTAACAGCGAGAGCTAACACTGAATATCGCGTACAATTTCTCGGTGCAATCCTGAAATAACGCGATTGCCTTTCCTCTCCCTCATGTAATCGGAGACAATGCGCAGCGTTCTCGTCGTACTTTTGGATTCCCGACGAGCTAAGAGAATCTACCGATCTTCGGCCCGTCTGCGGTCGTTTAATTTACGACGTCGCCGTCTAATTTCAGGCTTCGCTACCACTCGTGTCCACTAAGTATACTGAATTCGGTTAAAGGCGGTTCCTCGTTTATGCAGAGACACGTGATATCATACCTTCAGCCAGAGGCCAAAGCGCTTTGAAAGTGTTCCAAAAGAACCGTCACTTTATACGTTACGAGGACATAATTTTTCATTCCCCCAGAACGTGCAGAACGTGACTAATCGGAAGACCGGCGATTCGGTTACAAATCTCTCGATGCAACACACGAGAGGATACACGGGCAGGATGCACCGCACTGTTCGCAACGCATTCGGTGTCGCCGCGATATAACGCGCACGGATTTATAGCAGATACACGATCCAGCGAAAAACAAACATACGCTGTGAGAAAGAAGATAATTGAAATTTGATGCATAAACCGCGCTGTGGATGTGACGCACTGAGTTCCAGCTAAAAACAAAATGATCATGAACTTTTTGTAATCCGCCGGTACAGGGAGAAGTAGCGTGTCGAGAGAGACACAGAATTGACTATCTACTGTTTAAGTAAGATGCGCCAATATGCATTGATATGTGAGTACGTCGCGCAAAGTCATTGACACCGGACGTAGTAAATTTGTGTTTTGTATAAGAGGCTGAAGAAGGTTCGACAGAAGGTGAGTGTAATTTTCTATTACATTTCTTTTTTTCTCCACATAAAAACAAGTCAACTCAGTTTTCCATTTCCGATAATCTGGAGCTACTAATTTGAGGGGAAAGTTTCCAAGTTAATCGCGGGAGAGAGAAGGGGTGTTGAGGACGACCCACCTTGAGAATTGTTCTCTAACAAAGTTTACAACGTGCCGTTTAAAATCGATGAGAGAGACAAAGTACTATCTCTTGTCGTATAATACGATAAAACTATGTCAGTCGTAGATTTTCCCGATTTCAGTCGTTGTTTATCGACTGCGAAAAAGGTGGCGAACGTATTTCAGTGATACCAAAAACAGATGAAACTAAATTCGGCTGAATCGCGCGATTATCATTGACACCGTCGTCGTGTCCAGAAATCGCTACTGAGAGAACCGTACGCGTCGCTCTCTCTCTCTACGGCCAACAATTCGAAAAATAAAGTTCAAGCGGCCAGAACAATATCTCATGTTGTAGCATGAGCAGCGTTTCAGCGTCACAGAGAACACACATACAGAAAGAATGGGCAGTTAAGAAGTCAAGCGCGTACACCAATACATTTTATCGAAGCCGTCGGGACTCGTGCCCTCCGATAGAGAAACGCGACAGTTATAATATAGAGAGATTCATACGTGATGTAACAACGAACCTCGAAGCTGATCGCGCAGACGGACAGATCGGCGTCGCCAAACGTGCGAGTTTCAGTGAACTTGATCGACTTTTATCAACTTTGCACAAATGCTAAGCGTATATAGAAATCAATATACGTACGTGAACTTCCAAATAACGTTTGCTTTGTAACAAGAAATATTGCACTCGTGTATTTTCTGCGTGAGCTTTGCAGGAGGCAAAGATCCATAGAATTTCGTCGCCTCAAGCTTCGAAGCTCCTTACTTTAGTAAAAGTCCTTTTGATGTTTGTTAGTATCATTGAGAAATGAGTTCGCAGTATATATTGCAGCATTCGCATTGCAAGCTGAATCGAACACATCTGAGTAGTCGATTCGCTGCAAGTGATTCCCCGACCGAAGAGAAAAGATAGAGTGGCTGTAGCAAGATTCGTAGAACCAATTTAAGCCGTAAAAAAGAAAGAGAGAGAGAGAGAGAAGAGGGAGAGAGAAAGAGAGAAAAATAGAGATAGACAGAGGAAAGAAAAAGAGAGAAAGAAAGAGATAGATAGATACATAGAAGAAGAGTAAAATATGCGTTTAAGAGCTACAGAGTGTGTCGTACAAATTACATATGACCGCAATTGCATCTTTCACCATCTCGCGTAACACCTAAATCGAGAGGCTCGATCACTCGCAATTGTAGCAAACTGACTTGCAGAGAAACATAGTTCGATGCAAGCGAGATATACAATTCTACACTAAATGCCTCGCAAATGAACGATCGTGAAAATCACACATTTATTTACTAATCGCGTCGGCCGCGATCGAACAAAAAATATCCCGCTAATAATTTTGAGACAAGAGCCAAGATCTACCCGATTCTAATACTGGAACGTCTAGAAACAATCGTTCTAACAGAACGAGTACGCTATTGGTATCTCCAGCAATCATTGAGATAGCTAAGATAGATCTCATTCGAATTCGCTCGATTTCCAAGAGTTCCCGAATCGCGCGCGGTTTTAGGAGCACCGAATAAATAGAATAAATTCTACACATATACACATATCTCTATTGCTCGAGACATTTTTCAAACGGTCTCTATGCATTCTGGGTTTGTTTCGGTCTTTTTTTCCCTTAAATCATAGAGTGAGGCGTGTAGGTACGAAAATTTCACGAAGTTGCAGTCAGAATCCGTCGTGAGTTTCTCTCGCCTGAGACTCTGTCTCTAACGATTTTATCGATCCTATCGTTTTTGGACAATTCAGAGTATCTCCGAAAAATGCTTCCTTCAGAGAATTTAAATCAACCTTCCTGCGCGAAATGGCACTCTCGATACTGAAAGTAGAAGAAGAGTTCTCGTCTATTTCGAGGAAATATAAATTGCGGTCTTAATTGCCATTCCGTGAGTTACCGAGAAGAGAAATATTGTTCGTCAAATGCAATAGCAACTGATTAATACGCGGTTATTGGATTGCGTTCGCGCCTCATTTCGTTGCGGTGTAATTTATCCTGCAACAATATTGACCTTTTTAACAAGATAATGAAATTTTCAGCTCAGTTGAATCCAGAGTCGATGATCTATCACGCTGAAACTACACGTTACCGGGTTATTAGAGCGCACTCAAGATCATCAGTCCTCAAGATTCTTCTCTGTCACTACATCTCCACGATCTAAGGCAATCCTGCTGTCGCACGATTGTTGCGAGAAAAAGACTCAAAACGTCACGACGGTTCTGACAGCCACGTGATTTATCACAGAGGTATAGGCATAAGGCAGAGGTAGCCAGTATCTTTGTCTTCTCGTCTCTTTTGTCGTCGTGGCTAAGATTCGAACCAGCGCGGTCGGATCCGAATTGCCGCGGACTGATTCGCATGACGATGGGATTTTTCTCGACGCTTTTAATGTATATGCAAATTGCGGGGAGGTGAGGAGCGACGTTTCAGACAGGTTTCGAGCGATGTACGAGAGAGGGAAGTGAAGCTGCCTGGTGACTTAAGTTGGTCTCTCTTTACGTTCGTCGTCGTGCCGCGATAAAGGCTTAATTCGTGGCCAATTCCTTTCTTTCTCCCCCCTCTTTTTACAACGGCACGTCGTCGGTGGAACGTGCCTAATTGAATAACCGGTTGATTCAAATTACAGAGCGAAATGTACTTATTAAATGTATTGTCACTATTTCACAATATCTCTGCACGAAATTCAACCGTGTTTTGCGTATGTAATGCATACAAACAGCTAATGGAGATAAATTTATCCGACAAAAGATCGGGAGAGATGATTATTTCGCGCGTAATATCATATTTTTTTTACATATATTTCATGTGAAGTTACGTGAAGCTGTGTGTATCTCCATTGTAGTGGTTCGCGAAACGATTTAAGCCCTTATGCGCGAAAAAATCCAATTCTGTACCACAGATTCTCACGTATGTCGAATGTACCGTACTTTCGGAGTATGCTCTCCCCAGCTCGATAATCAATTTTATCTACGGCTAGTCTACACGGTGAGCTGCGGACAAACGTTAGCTTGGACACGGTTCCGGCGTTTGAACGGCGATGCTCGCGTTTAACAAGAGAAAAATTGCGGCGCGTCTCCGGGATGAGCTCTAGGCTGTCGCCAACTATTATCCCAAGGCAACTCGACCGTGTACGCAAGGTTCACGCGAATGATCGATAAGCCGCGTACGCGCATACAAACGCGTGTATATTGGAGCACAGCTGCACTCCCGCGGTAATCGCGCGCATCGACGTTCAAACGAATCGGTCGATAACGGCATATAACGAGTGGCACCATGCCACCCCCGCCGTTGATTCCTGCCCCAAAAAGTCACTTTGGCGTGACATTAAATGAAAACGTTATTTTCGCGGTGGGACCACCGCGTTTATTTCCTTTGTTTAGGGCCACAAGGCTGCGAACTTCGAGAAGTGGAGTAAATTTGCATTGCGGAAACTTTGAGCGAGTTTAACACGTGTGTCTGCCCGTATTTACTTCGCCATAGAAACTTTGGATCACGAAAAAATTAAAACCACTTCGCACACAATAAGCGTGTATTTGCATATATGTTTACTTGTATGTGCGCGCGCGCGCATTTACACGTATATGTATCGCTAAAAATAATGTTCAATGCTCAAAAAGTTTTATCCACGCTAAAATTGTCTGTCTTAAAATTGTTCACATCTGGAAATTGTATAGCTATTAAAAACTAAATTATAATTAAAGCTTTAACCGTTTTGCGTAAACATTTTTTCTGTAAATTATACGAATAACATTTCTTGCGGCTAACTAAAAAATATTAGAAGATATTATTATTATTATTATTTGGCGTAGCGGGAATTTTACAGATCGTTGAATTTACCATCATGAATCGTTTCTCGGCGCCTTTCGGGATGCAGGATCAACAGCCGGGGAACACCGTGCACTCGAAATATTCAACCGTCTCGCGCGCGGCTCGGCGAACACGTAAATCTCAGTCCGTCCCTCATCTCCCCGATCGTTCCGCTCTGATGTACGAGCTTTGGCAAAACCGCCGAACTGGCGGTTCCAGTTTGGCGAAACGAGCTATGCGAAAGGCAGAATAGCAAACGATAGCTCGAGATTCCTCGCCATGGGAGAAGAGGATTCGCGAGATCGCGGCGAGAAGATAGAACCGGCACAGCGAAAAAGCTCAATCTCTCAAGAAAGTGAGGGAAGAGAAAGAATTAATATCTCTTGCGTCGGTACAACAAAGAGAGGTTTTAAAAGTTTCATACACTTTCGCAACACTGCGTCGGTTACGGATTTTTCTTCGCGATGTGTATGCTTGAAGGAATCAATCGAGTCGAAAGAGTGACCGAGTTTTGTCCCGCACGTTTCGTTTCGCAAAGCTCGTTCCTCGTAAAGGGTATAACCCATGGAAGAATACGACAAGCAACATTTTTCCGAGAACACATGGCTTTATTTATCATATTTGTTTCTCCGTATTTACTCGTGTCTTTCATGCCATAATTTTCAGCAACGTTAAGCAAGGACAAAGAGGCTCGATTGCAGACAACCAGAAAGACAGTAACAAGAAAATTTAATCTCTCATCTCATTTAGCTTTTGCCTTTGACAGCAACCGGATACCCGACTGTTCGTTCAGAAGCTACAGAGCAAGTTGATAATTAAATCTAGATGATTCTTAATGAAAAATACCACTGCATCCTTCCATGGATTAGTCGGACTAGGATAACGTGACCATCCGTCCACGGTGCGTAGAATGGGAGCGCGATTTTCGCGAAATCGAGAAATCGCGAAATTGGGACATATCGTACGTGTGTGGGACTACAGGGTGTCCCTTAACCGACGTAAATGATCAAAGTAGCTACGTAGATATAATACGTGAGGAATAACTTACCAAACCGACGAGTAGAAAAAATACTAGGAATGTGCGGCCGAGGACCGTCTGGCAGTAAACGTCGCCATATCCTACCGTGGACATCGTCACGATCAGAAAGTACACGCAGGTCCAGTACGAAAGCTGTTGCGGGTTCGTGAACTCGAAAGGGTCCCCTGAGTTTTCAAGCTGCGGGCACGATATTATTACGTTCAGGACCATCTCCGGCGCGATGGCGTCAAGAGCGAAATTGCGGTTTATATTGGCGAGTCATAACCGTAAGCTTTTACTGCCGCGCGATAATGGTATAAACACGGAACGTCCGAGGAAACGTATCCCTCGGATTTCAGCGTATATGGTGTTCCCAAGAAATATGAGAGTTTCACGAAGAACGCATTGTCGCGCGTCATGTGAGGCAAGATTAAATTGTTCGCATTGAAAATTTCTATCGCGTTGAATCCATTTAGACATGTCAGAGGATGATTTCTACATTTTATCCGGCACGCGCTACGCGTTTACCATAATACACATAATATACACATATTTAAATTATCTTTCACTTAAACATAAACAATTTCTGATATTATATTGTGGGAGAAAGTTATTTCGTCCAGAAAAGTATCCGCGTAATGTATTTCCATTATGGGCCTAAGAATTCAGAACCTCTATGTAAATTAAGTAACATTCTATCAAATTTTTCGAAAAAAACCATTTAAAAAACAATTTTTTAATATTTTTGTTCTTTTAAAAATTTCAATTCATATTTTAAGCAATAATAACAAATTACAACAAAACATATCGAAAAATTTGCTTTTATAAAAAAATCAGGGAATTCCTTTGTCCGGCAATCTGTATCTTGAAATATTAATGCTTTATCTTGAACATAATGAGATACAGAAAAAGTCGCGAGCAAAGAGAGAACTTGTCTAGATTTCCGAAATTAGTAAACTGAAATAATTATCGCAATGTGAGCACGTAGCTGTTGCTTGAACAACGCGTAAAAAAAAAATAGGACGTTGTCTTACCAAATGAATGATGCCAGCTGCGGTCAACCAGACGGAGATGAAGATGGATACGAGTTGGGCGAGTCGAATGGAGCTCGATGTCTTTAGAATGTTGAGGTACTGGAGGATGTCAGGGACCGTCATCAGTCGTAGGGCTCGGAGGAACCTCAGTCCGATCCACGTCCGATCGAGATATATCGACACGAAGGACGGTGGTATCGTAAAGTAGTCCACGAACGAATACATCTCCAGCATGAACCACAGCTTGTCACTGGCGGCGATAAACTGAAATCGAAAAACGAGTTCGCAAACTAGAATGATCAGTTGAACGAATATTATGTTTCATCACAGAACATTTGTGGAGCCTTTCGTGAAATATAAGGAAAAATGAGATAAATATCCCGCGCGTCCATTTGCAAATTTCTAATATTTTGTATATTCTGTGCACTGATGAAAATCTCGTCGTTAAAAGTTCACGCTTTTAAGAAATGCATTGAGACAGACAATTATCGATACGATAATAACATGAAATTTACACGTCATTCACGTTTCATATAATGATCCTAACATCACATCCAAAAATAGTTGGTTTTACTTACGCGTATAAAAAAGTAGACCATAAAAAATATATTGAAAGCTAAGTCTATTTGCTGAGTAATGTTGTTGCTCCACTTCTGGCAACGCTCCACCTCTTCGCTGTAACATAAAAGCATGAGATTGCAGATGTTAGGTCAGCATCTCTTATGAACTTATGTGAAGGTCTTGGTCTTAAAAAAAGAAGCAACACTGAAAGGGCGACTAAAATAGCGACGATTAAACTGGTGATTATCGTCGCCTTAATTAAACTGCGACAAGAAGCTTTGAAATGTTGTTATGCTGTTATAATATCTACAATACTACGCAAAAATAAGGACAGTATTTATAAATGTGTATGAACTATACTGTTATAATAATCATGTTGCAATATAACTTTAAACAAACTAATCATACTATTTAATTATGAAAAACAATTACAATGATGTAAACTTTACAACGAGGCCAAATTACACATTGAAGACTGATGAAAAAATACTTAGAGACAAGGTTGGTAGCGGTGTATCGTCAACTTTTCTTTATTCATTTGTTTTTCATAAGCCCAGTACGCGCGTCGAAACAGAGTTACGGAGGTAACTCGTGTCAAAGAGCGATTAATTAAAGCGATTATAGCGCGCAAATTACAGGCCATCTCACGACAAAGTTTTGTCACTCACCTGGAGGCATCGATGAAGTATATTATAAGCGATGCTATACTGAGAATGAAAACTAACACCACCTGAAACAGAAAATGAGAGCGCATCGTGAAATATCTATTTGCGTTAAATTTTATGACTATCAATTGGTAGCACAGGAAAGAAATTAATACTCACTTAAAACTAATATATTCAAATTAGCAATATAATTGTTTTGTATAAGCAACAATATATAATTTTGTCAAAAGAATTTTGAAGTCTGGAATCTCAACGATGTGATAATTTTTACATAAAAAACACTATATGATTACTTTGATGATAATGCAATGTTTTCCTCAAATATTTGAAAACATCATATTCTCAATACGCTATATTATGCTTTCCACTCATGAAAATTATTTTTCAATAAGAATATATTTCCTTTTGCGTTGAATCATACAAAATGCAGTTAATACAAATAACTTATTTTCGTCTGACGCTATGCAATTTTATTTGAGAACTTGCAAGTTAAGAGCAAAGATATTTTCAAAACAAGAATATTTTTCTTTCTGTGAGATGTACGATCAATCCGCGATAAGTTTGAAACGCGTTAGTGCGAGAGGACTAACCTCCATCGAATAGTTCCTCTCTTAAAGGTGTCATAGAGAATCTCAGGAAGCGAATATAAAACGCGATAGAACGGAAAGCGAAGACGGATTGCGACCGCCGTAATGAAAAGTAATCAAATCGCCGCGACACGATTTACGATCACGAGGACTCGTAACTCGAATGAGCTTTTTAAACGTTGTTATTCACCGTAAATATTTTCATTAGAGAAATAGAGAGAGAGAGAGAGAGAGAGAGAGAGAGAGAGAGAGGCAGCTATATCGCTTTATTTCCGATGCGGCATGCGCGCACGGTCTCAAAGTCTCATGTCTAGCTAATAGCTGTCAGCAGTCGTAGAGTAATGTTTATGACTGGAGCTGAGTTAAAGCACCCCGTGCGCTCTCTCTCTCTCTCTCTCTCTCTCTCTCTCTCTCTGCCGACAAAACTCTGCGGAGGTGCGCAACTTTAAAGTTGCGCAAATTCCTGTATGCACACTCAAACACGCTAACGACGCAAACGGGTAGCTCGTTAAGCGGCTGCAGTACTGATCACCGTCATCAAAGACACAAGCGGTTAATTAAACGCTAAAGGGTAATCCGCATAGTCGGCAATAAATTTACCGATCGTCTGTCAGTCGTTTAATCGGAAACATCGATGACATCGCGCTGAGAAACGTCGAGTTAAACGTGTCGCGAGACAATGCCCGCACACGTGTATCGAAATAATATTCACGTGGAATAATTAAAATCCGCCGATGTTTAAATTCGCGATAGAAAACGAGTAAAAACGCAGATGCTCTCGCCTTGCGTTTTGTCGCCAATGAAATATGGGTCGTGTAACTCGACTGAATCAGAGCACGCGGAATTTATCTGTCGCGCGAAATGTTGAAGTATACACCATCCAGGCAGAATTGCGGCTCGCGCACTGCTACACCTGTATAATCATTGTAAACAATAGTTAAGGCCAGCTCAATTATCGTATGCATGTAAGCACGCGATGCGTGCGCGCAACACGACGAGATCGATAAACGTCCATATACGGGATTGTGAGCCGTGAATCTATTAACGAACCGCAGCGATCCTTATTACAGACACGTGGAAGGGATATCCTTAACGAGACGCAAGCATCGGACGACATTCCGACGTTTCTACAGATTAGCACATCAACATGCGACGCGCGTATGCATACACGTCACTTGGTGCAAAAATCAGTAGTCGCTTCGTCGAAGAGAAATATCGGTACGTTCACGTATCTCGACAGAGGCGGAGCTAATTATTCGAACGCATTTTTCTCGCATATCATGGAAATTTGTCGATACAGCAGCACGGCGCAGTACGGTGAGTGGAAATAATTATCCCGAGCAATAATACTCGTCCTATGCGAACGATTATCGATATTCACATTTTGCGAGGGCGCAATTTACATTAAATTCCTTGCCGTTGCCATGTAGGAAAATAATATATCGTGTTAACTGTCACAAATATCAGACTTATAAAAAAAAATGAGACAGTAAAAGATGTATGGAAGACGAAATTAGATTTCCAAGAGAAAGAAAACATATCAAGAGAATATATAATATATAACATAAAAGAGAATATATAATTTATCGTTGAAATATTAACGATGCTTTTCTTGATCAAGAAAAAAGGCATATATTTATCAATATTAAATTCGATATTAATGCATATAACTTGTTTTATGCATGAATATCTATGATATCCGTGACGGAAAAAATGAACTGCCGCAGAGTGATAGCGACGGAAAAAATTATCGATTTATTAAATTATCGAATAATATTACTCATTTTCATTTTCATATTTCTTACGGGGATCAGGATGCTAATAACGAGAGAAAAGTATTAGTTTGACAAAAATTTTCTCCATATATCTTACTAGATCACAACGATATTTCCTTGAACGTTGCACAAAGAAAAACAATTTTCTAGTGGCGCTTCAGAGTAGACCATGTAATTTCCCTTGCTATCAGTCTACTTTGCAACTACTTTACACCCATCCACATAGCAACCTTCCCGTGAATTTTACTTCATAAGTTCCTTTAAAGGAGGGAACGAAGAGGTATGCGTCGGGGTGAACTAAATGCAAAGAGCGAGAAGCCAAGTGATGAGATGGCAGAGGAAAGGGTGGAGGGCGAATGAAAGAGAAATAGAAGAAAAAAATATACGAGGCATACCGTGCGCGATATTCCTGACGCGTCGGTCTCATGAAAACGAACCTCTAGACATAGTCACCGCGCCAAAATAGACAGTAGATGCGGTCCTCTCGACAGAATTATGTAGAGAAGAAACGGGCGAAGTGGTTGTACGGAAGAAGAACGAAGTGACGGTAAGAGCGAGAACAAAGCCTATAACATCTAGAAGAGACCGTGCAATTAGGAGCAGTCGGTCGAATAAAACCGAAGACAAAATAAAGAAGAAAATGAAGAGTTTCCGGAGAGAAGAAGACATAACAATCACACGAGTTGAACTCGGGAGTTTACTGCGGCGATTCATTAAGGATCACGATACTTCTTGCGGTGTAGAGTGATCTGTAATCGAATACCATCTAGTGAATGAACAGTTTGAACGGGTGACTCACAGATTATGTACATGGAAAAAAATGTGGTTGGATTAATCGAATGTCTAGTGAAACATAGACGAAGTTTTGAAGTTTTTCAAGATAACGAGATTTCTGGTTCAGAATTTTATTCAAGATAACGAGATTTCTGGTTAACTTACAACTGTTTAACTTAAACAGTTTAATCTAGATATTTGGTTACTTCATCCAAATTTTTCTTTCTATGTAATTATGAAAGATGTGTCGCAGAAGATTAATCTGGCTTCACCTGTTCAAATATTGGAGTTTGCTCAAGTGTTTACTTGTTACTTAGATGTTAAGTGTTCATTCATTGGACAGATCACCCTACCTCCTGAGTTTGAATTACATTCTACACGGTAGAAAATATCGGTTGGATTAATCAAATATCTGGATAAAATATGAATGAACCAGAATTCTATTCAAGTTAACAAGGTTTTGATTAATTAAACAAGATTTCTGGTTAATCATAATCTTGTTAACTTGAACAGAATTCTGGTAACTTTAATCGAAATTCTGATTCGTCCACATTTCACCAGATATTTGATTAATTCAACCAAAATTTTTTTTCGTGTATAGATCTCGTTCTCAAATTCGACGAGGCGGATGCGAGGAGAGAAGATGACAACCACGAAGTTCGTGGAGAAGAGTCAATGTCGCGGAACGGCTCTCGGGTGCAGTGCACCCGGAATCACGAAGAATTCTCTCTCTCTCTCTCTCTCTCTCTCTCTCTCTCTCTCTCTCTCTCTCTCTCTCT